GCCTATTTGGATATAACTTATTTGGGCTAAGCCTGAATAGGCTTGATTCCCCTGAATTCTCAGCTCTACATTATACGTGTGTGTCTGTAATATTATTGGCACAAATTACAAGATTTGATCATCATCACGAGGCAGCATGGGCCTCGGTTACAAGTAATCTTTTTCTGGAAATTCTTCAATGTAGAAATTAACAAATATATTGCTGTGTTTTAATATTAATTCCTTACGCATTCTTCAGTCTGCTTCTTTTTAGTTGATTCTTGGAACCATTGTATAAGCTGGCATTGACTAAACCTTCTTATATAAATAATATAATATGTGGCCAAAGTTAAGTCTTTGCTCCATTGCACTGGTTAGAGGGCAAGTTTGTTTTGCTAAAAAAAATGATTTTTAAATGTTTTAGAGATTTCATAAACATATTTATTATTTAATAATGTAACAATTTAACAAGTTATGATTTTTTGTGAAATTTTGTTTCTATATTTATTATTTACGTATTTTTTAAATAAGCCATTTAAATAATTTCTCACAATTACCAGAAATTTGCTTTTTTCTTTCAGGTTCTGGTTATTTTTAACAGTTTAAACAATATCAAAAAATATCTAAAAATAGTTTTTTAAAATAATAACTGATTTTCAATGAAAAAAAGATTAAACAATCTTGCCTTAAAGTCTTTAAATCATTAGACAAGTTACCATTAATTGACTCAACACTCCTAGTCTGCTCCCTCGCTCTTTCTCTTCATCCACCATGTGAACTTTCTAGAAAAATAAAGGTGAGGAAATGAAGGAAATATATATATATATCTATATATATATATATATCTGTATGTATGTATGGTAGGTATGTATGTATGGATATAGAGAGAGAGAGAGGCGTTAATATTTAACAGGGATTAATACTATATGGTTTTTATTGTCCAAGAAAAATGATGAACATAATCTTAGCACATTATGTGTATTCAAGATTTCCATACAAATTCTGCATGCAAGTTCATGGCTGTATGACAAGAGTTTGGACTTTTTTCAACTGAAATTTAATTGCTATATAATAATTTGATTTGAACCTTTGAAAATGGAATTTCGATTTAATTGGTGAGTGAGTTTTATAAACTACTTTCTGTAATCTTAAATGTAGAAATTAATGAAGGAGTTTGTTATAATCAAATAATATAAGATTCTCAATCTTAATTTGTCTCTAAATTTATTATTTTTTCCAAACTATATATCGTATTGATTCAATCT